TCCAGATGATATATATTTTCAATTATTTTCTAGTTGTTTTTATTATTCTATTGATTATACAATGTAATTACTTTGATATATAATGTTTTTATATATGTATATTTATATCTAATGGCTATTATTGAACTATAATGTTACTTAAATAAATAATATAACGTATTATTAGATTCTATATTATTTCATACAAAATAATTAATTTTGTTAACATATAGAAATATGAATACCTTTTTGTGTTCATATATATTATATTAGTTAAACTTCATATAAATACTCTTCTGCTCAGTATATTTCAATTATAACATATGTTTAAATTTTTATTGATTAAAATATACGTAAATTTTATTAAGTTAGTTATACAATTTTTTTTTTATTTTCGTATATATTGTTTATGAACCATTCTGATTTGTTTGGCAGGAATTGAACCAACAAAAATATATATGGACATTTCTATTTTATTTTATTTGAATATATATATATATATAATTAAACTGTCTTGTATTTATTAAATATAATATATATTGTTAGTTATTTTAACACTTTTCATTATGAATTTTTAAGAAATCTCTGTAATTTATTTGATTAATTTATGGTAGATTTTGATAAATTTTTAATTATAAAATTTATTTGATCTCAATTTATTAAATTTAACTTATTAACAGTATTTAATTTAATATTACAATTTATTTAAATGGATATATTTTTCACGAAAATATAAATAAATGTTTTTATTTATTAAATAATTAATTGAATAAGATATTATTTGACATAATTATTAGTTATTTCAAATATTTTCTTAAATTTATAATAAAATCTCTATAAATTTATTTAATCAGCTGTATGATATATTTTGATAAGACTTTTAATAAATTTCTTTGATTTCAATTTAGTTCATATTATTTATAAACAGTTTCTCATGTAACTTCTTATGAAAATAAAATAAAAATATTCTCTTAGTTCAATTGATTTGATATTGATTGAACTTATTTTGTAGTAGCTAAGCCTGCAAAAATAAGTTACACTTATTTGTTTGCATAAATTATTTGAATGTTTTATATTGTTTGGAGTTTTAATACAAGATTAACTATTTTTTGTTTGAAAACATAAATAGTAGTATTACATTGTTTGGATACAATATTAATTATTGTGTTGTTTAAAAACATAAATAGTAGTATTATATTATTTCTATAGTTATTTTATAGTATAAGATAGTGGCGGATTTAGAAAGTATTTGTATTCTAGGCAGAAACAAAAACTACTAGATAAAAATATAAGAAAAAATTGTCATGAAACCATAAAAATCCTTACAAATTTACCCTACATATTCTCATGGATTGAAACCTTTTCACCACTATTTCGTTTGTAATAGACTTAAACAAATCTTTTTCAATATAACATACTAAACAATAACTTAAACACTCGTCTCCAATTTGGTTGTGTGTGACTGTTTTCACTAGCTTCATTGCAGAAAAACACTTACAACACTTGCAATAGCAACATGCAACGTTAAAACAAACTTTAAGAGCCTATAAACTAATGGATGTACAAGATGTTTTTTTTTTTGGTTTCTACCATCAGATGAGAAAGATCCCCAAAATTCTTCAAATTCTTAAACCGCTCATCGTTTTTATATATTGTCAATGTAGATTCCAAGTTGATGTTCAACAGGTAAACACTCCCCAAATCTAAAGTCATCTGGATATAATTTAACCAATCTCAATAGCTTTGACTTATCAGACTCTAGAAAGTAATTTGCATGACTTAAAGAAGTCATACAAATAAGCATCTCGGTGTTTACCTCAGTAAAGCGATCATTAAGCTCTTGAAGCTGCAAATCCATAACAGTGTAGAAACAATTAACTTTGTAATAATGCATATTGGTTACACCTGCTTTTCTTCTTAGCCTCCTTAAATCCACAAAATTTTCATCCATCACAAGCATATTAGCATTATGCTTTTCACAGAATGATAAAACTTTACACATAGACAAATCTCGTCCATCTTATCGAAACTTTTGCAGCTCTCACTTAGTTGAATCTACAAGTGACATGGCATTTAAAATATATTGATTCTTCATTTGCAAAGTCATTGACAACTTCTCAGTTACTCTCAAAATAAAAAGCATCAACTGCAAATAGAACACACAATCAAATGTGTGAAGATACTTGATAAGACCATATGCTTGAAATTTTTTTGAGTCATAAGCGCCTTCATCTTGAACATATTCAAGGATTTCAATGACTGAAGGAAACAACTCAACCAATTGAAGCACGGTTTTATAACGAGTACCCCAACGAGTATTTTTTTTTGAAGCGAAATCTCTTGATTTTGTCATGTTCCAGTGTTAATGTCCCCACTGTCAATTCCTTCCTCCACCCTTTTTCAATTCATATCAAGGAGCATATCTTTCCTCTTGCAAGAAGCCACAAACACATTCAGCAATGTAGAAACCATATCAAAAAAGTTACTAACTTCAAAATGTTTTTTCGCAACTACCACTACAACTAGCTGAAGTTGATGAGCAAAACAATGGACATAGTATGCTGAACTATTTTCTCTTGGAACCAATGCTCTCAAACAATTAAAGTGACCTTTCATATTTATTTCTCCATCATAATCTTGTCTTCTCACATTTTTCAGGCTCAACCCGTGTTTTGCAAATAAATCATCAATTGCAGATTTCAGAGATAAAAAAGATGTTTTTTTTATATGAATAACTCCCACAAATCTTTATTTAGCTGGTCCACCTTTGTCAACAAATCGGAAAAAAACAGCGATTTGCTCTTTGTTAGAAACATCTGCAGACTCATCAACCATCAAACCGAACATTCCATGATCAATTTCTTTTATGATAGATTTCAGTACTTCTTGAGCAAAAGAATGTACAATATCTTTCTAAATCACTTGAGAAACCATCTGATTATTTTTTGGAGTGTTCTCCCAAATAACCTTGCTTACAACATCATTTTGTTGTCCAGTGTACTTCAAGAGCTCTACAAAATTTCCTTTACTAGCAGAACCTTTTCCTTCATCATGACCACGAAAAGGTAATTCATGTTGTAACAATTACCTAGAAGCATCAATTAAAGCGTTTAACCGGATGCGATATTCATTTTTTCACCACATCATCTTGCCTATAAAAAAAATGCACAATTGACTGACTTTTATTCATCAAATCAACACATCTCTTAACAACAATTTTATGAAAGCTATTGATTCCACCTACGTGTTCAGATAACGCCCCAGGTTTTTTCCAACAAGAAAAATCTTCTGTCACAAAAGCAATATTTCCACCATGATTAGGTATGTGATCTCAGAACAAGTAGAAACACAAACAAAATGATTTATCTTTTGAGACGTTGTACTCTAACCAATTACCATACTGCTTAAACCAAGCTAGATTAAATCGCCTCATTGATGTTCCAAATATTTTCTTTTGAAAAGTATGACCATATGGTTGACATGAACCTCTAGTTAAGTATTTCCTTCGTACCTCGTCTCTTTAGTTAGAAAGATAATGTGATATATTTTCTCTTTCAGCTGGATCCCATGGAAAAACATTCAAATCATCAGAGTTATCCAAATTTCTTTTAGAAGTGGAAGCACTTGTTTTGTTATAATATCAGCTCCATTTTTCAAATCACTAAACATAGTAAATCAATATGAAGTCAACTCTACTAAACCTTACTAAACAAAATTAATTCATCATATTAGCCACTAAATTTATTCATGTTAATCTCAAAATCATATAAATAATATTGGTTGGTTTTAAAATTATTCCACATTCACATCACAAGTCACAACGTCAAAACATATCATACAGTTTTGGAACAAAAAACAATAAAATTAGAATTAAACAAACATTTAACATAGATATAATCTAATTAAATAAATAGAAAAGAAACTTACAAGGGTTTTGGTTTGTTTTTTTTGGATTGGGTTTGAATTCGGGTATAGGGTAAAATGTCCAAGCCTACTACTCCACAAGCCTACTACTCCACAAGGGTTTTAGGGAACAGTGTTTTACAAGCTATGACGAACTAAGCTCTCTTTGATTACTTGCATGGTACTAGAACTCTTAGCTTTGTAGATGAAGAGCATATAAGTAAGAATTCCCCCCCCCCCCCCCCTCGATTTATATGCGTCCTTGTGAGAACTCCCGTTTTCTCCAACGATACCTTGTTCTCTTCAGTGATGACAGTGTGATGTTTGAGAATTTCCAGGTTCTTTGCTATTATGGAATTCCTCGTAGAAAGATTGGCTGTGTGTACTGAGCTGGCCTAAAGATATATATCATAAAGAAATTCCGACAGATTGTCTGAGTTATCCAGTGGAGTCTCTTGTTGAGTCCCCTACATATTTGTGTTATAGTATTGAGAGTACATCAGAGATTCTCAGTGTATCATCGAGGCTGACAGTAGGCACTATCATCGGTATTTTTAATACACAGCTTCTGTCATACTGTGTTCATTCCCACCCTGAACGTCCAGCCACATGGGAAACTTTAAAGAAAGCATCTACTTGTGGTGAATTTTTACTTGTCAGTAACCTCATGATGGCGTTTTGATGCACTGCGATGGAGAGGGTCAGAGAATATATGTTGAAGTATTTTGACCGTTAAGTTTGACTGTGACCTATGTTCATCAGTAAATAGTGATGTAAATGTCCACAAATGGAACAAGGACCCGGGGAAATGAGAAAGGACAGAGATTCTCCTTGAGGTTAGCTTATGTTGATGCAAGACTGAGCTCAGTAAAGTGATCCTCAGACTGGACTGAAAAGCTCAGAAAATACCTTATCTTCTAATTTCTATGGCTACCTTAAGGAGGAAAGAGAAGGTACTGTATCTTGTTCAGGACCAAAGAAATCAGCTTGCATCTATTTGCTGGGACATACCTGTGACAGTTCTTGTCCAAAATGCATTATTACAGGCTGTTTCGTGTTGGAACAATGATTTTTTCCTTTATTCTTGACCACCATTAGTCTCTCTTGCAACTATGTAAATATATCTAAGAAACAATATCATCTCTCTCATCTGTGAGACTGTGTTTGTGGAATAACATGTTTGTATTAACAAAAACAAAAGGTTGCATGCAGTTAGATGTCTTGGTTAAGCACTCCTACTGTTGTACAGCTAACTACCCATCTTTTTTATTAAATCTGAACCTAAAGTATCTTAATAACACCCAAAAAGAAATATCTTTTGAACAAGATATCTTCAACTTACATAGTGCAGTTTCATATTGAGTTCTCCAGGCCATCTCTTAAAGAGGACGAAGGAGAGGTTGAAGTCGAGAGACAAAACCGTGCAATCTTAGACTCTTTGTCTTTGCTATATGCCTTTTGGACATCATCCTTGAGCTCTCTATATCTCATTCTTTTCAATCTTCTCTCCTGCGGAGATCCCTTCTCAATGTGTAAATCATCGTCAATGTACTCCTCCATGTACTTATCTAAAACCTCAGAGCCATATGGAAAATACCTTCGACCAGTGTCAACTGCATTTTGCAACATGTAGTCAAGTGAGCCAAGAGAAAAGGAAGAGTTGCTCACAAAGAGCACATCTTTTTTATGGTTTTTACCTGTTTTCACTAGAGCCTCCATACGAGTAAGAAGTCGTTTGGTTTGCATATGAGGAGTTTCATTTAAATCAACCTGACTCAAGTTTCCGGTTAAGCCATTGGAAGGTGGGGGAAGACCCTTGAACTCGCTTGTACCTTCTACATTAGCAATGTCCATAGCCACATTAGCTTCTGTTGGAAAGAACAACTGAGCAAGCCCCACTGCAACAACAAAAAGCTATATGGTTCAACAAAAATGTCACAAACATACACAAGAATCTGTCAGTTACCTCTTTTTTCTAGGTATAACAGTCTCATTTGGAGATCTTCAGGCATAAAGAGGGAACACACTGGCGTATCAGCAACCATAGGGTTCCTCCGGATCTCTCTTTCCAAGATATCTATGCATAACCTTGCTTTACTAGACTCCCTCCCTTTCGCTGTCTTCGTATGATAATCCTTTGGATTTGTCAGTCTCCTACATATATTAACCGAACTGCGTCCATCTGAGGTGAAAGCAGCCGCATTGGCGCCTTCCTTGAGAAGAGATATGATTATGGAAGGCTCTTTACGCATGGCAGCGAAATGAAGAACCGTGTAGCCACGTGAGTTTCTGTGATTGACATCACCTAAACCGAGAGTAAGAATCTCTGCAACAACTTTAGGATCACTATACACCACTGAGTAATGCAAACCATTGGCTTCATCTAGACTGATATCTGACTCAGTCAAAAGAAGCTTCACAAGCTCAACATCATCTGAATCCAACGCCTTGAGAATTTTCCCAACTCTCTCAAGCATTTTGTCAGAAACCTTGGGACTATCTTCTTCGTCTTGTGGAGACTTGAGACGAATCTGTTTGATCCTCTCAGCTACTTGTAGAGGAACCTCTTTTTCAATACAGAGCCTATAGAGATCTGACCTAGCCACTCTCTCAATACATTGATCAAGAAGCTGAGTCAACTTACAGTGGAAAGCAACCAAAAGAATCGGAATAACATTCTCAACAAGAGACTTCTCCACAAAGTTACAAAGCCTCCGCTGCAACATACAAAAACAGAAACAATTAATCTCCAAAACAAGAAGACAAAAGAGAAAGCTTTTGATTTACACACACCTGAAAAGATGAAACAAGCTCAGGCACTTGGAGAATAGATGAAGCATACATCAACTCAACAACAAAATCAATAGCAGGTCGGCAAGAGTCATGAGCACAAACTGAGTCAATACAAGTAGAAACATCCAAAGGAAATGGCTTTACCCTCCCAGTGTAGATATAACTCAGGAAATAAACAAAAGCTTCATGCCCAACAGCTCCATAAGGCAACACCTCCTTTAAATGGTACTTCGGTCTCTCAATTTTCGAATTTTTCTTGTCTTTTTTGAACAGCTCCTGGAAAAACTTGCTTCTTGCAGCTAAAATGCATCTGTGAACACCAATGGGAACACCATCCACAATGATCTCTGAGTCTGTGTAATCACAATCTGGATTACTGAGAAGCTGCTCAAGATTGGAGCTGAGTTTGGTTAGACTAACAACTTCCAGATTAGAAGCTGAGCTTGATGAGATATGGGTAGACCCAGTAGAGAGGTTAGAGAAATGGGAAGACGTGAAGCTTAACGATGATGATGGCTCAGTTAAAGTAGCCATTTTTGTGCACAAGAAACACTCAGAAGATTAACAGATTCAGAAGTTACATTTCAAATACGGAATTAATCAAACCCTACAAAACCCAGAACCAAAAGATGAGAAAGGATTGGACCTTAAGGTATGATCTATAAGGACAAGACATGACAAAAGTTTCATATTTTCAGACAGCATACCATTACTCTTGCACCTCTGAATCAATGTACTAAAAAAAGGTCAAAAGGAAAGGCGGAAGCTTTGGAATCTGATAACGAAGGACTAGAGATTGAAGAATCAATATCACTCTGATATGAGAGCTGCAGAGACGTGAAAGTAAATCTGGAGATAAGAAGATCAAAGAGAAGGTAAATGGAAAAGTCAAGAAGAAAGGGATACATAAAAGAATATATGAGTTTGAGAACAAAGAGAACACAAACAGGTGAAGTGACGGTGAAAAGAAAGAGACAGCTTCTTTGTGAAGATGATGGAAAGAATTAATAATTTCGATTTAATAATGACGACTAGATTGAAATCATGGTCCAAACAATATGCATAAAGAAAGACTCAAATGAAAGTTGATAAATAAAGGGTCCAGGTTTTTTGAACCAAAAAAAAAAAGATAAATAAAGGGTCCTTTTTTTTTTTTTTTTTTTTTTTTTTTTTTTTGAACACATATAAATAAAGGGTCTATGATGATTATTCAAAGATATTTTCAGGAAATAAATAAAAGATTAAAACTATACAAATATTTTTTGACAACGTTTCATATACGTGAAAACTGAAAAGGTTGTATAGCATTTGTAGGTTTATTTCGAATGGTAAAAGCAGATCAAGCGGTGTAGATCAAGCGGTTCATGCAAATCAAACAGGACAAATGCAGATAAAGCAGGACAAGTGCAGATCAAGCGGATCAAGCAGGAGAGATGCAGATCAAACAATTAATCATAAATTATGAATGACAGAATAAATTCAAAACTATAGATCATATATTAAAAAAATAAAATTATACCAAATATCAATATAAATATTTAAATATTGTAGGATCAGCCTAAATGTTTATTCGATTTTTCCTAAGATGCTTGTAGCGTTTTAGTTGATCAAAATTATTTTTGAAGAACATACATCTTAATATTTAATTCTTTGTTAATATTTATATATAAAAATGGAGATAAAACAGATTAAATAATTTATTATAAATTATAAATGACAAAATATGTTCACATTATATATCATATATTAAAATAAGAAAAATTACATCAAATATCAAAACAAATATATCAGATGTTGTATGTTCAGCCGAAATGTCTGTAAAATTTTTATTAGATGCTTATACTTTTTCTATTTATTAATTATTTTAAAATATAAAATAATTATTTGTTTTACTAACACTTATGTAGAAAAATTTATATTTTTCGTGGAAAATATTGTGTTTTTTTGGCGATTATACATCATGCTTATAACTTTAAAATGACACAAATAATATTAATGTGAACTATATAGTTTGAGTTAATAATTGTACATTATTTAGAAAATAAAATAAATATATTTTAAAGTTAAGTGTTTGTAATAAAACCTTTTATTAGTAAAAGGAAAAAAAAGGCAGATCAACACCACCAAATGTTAGTGGATGGGATCTGCATGTAGATCTCCTGTTTTTTCTACTAAAAGACAAAAAAATTGAACTGCATGCAGATCTCCCGCTTGAACTGCTTTTACAAATAGAAAATGGTGAATGGTAAACATAAGGCAGGAGAACTGTCTATTACGGGAGAACTTCATGATTTGTTAATATTTATATATAAAAATGGAGATAAAACAGATTAAATAATTTATTATAAATTATAAATGACAAAATATGTTCACATTATATATCATATATTAAAATAAGAAAAATTACAAAATATGTTTCCACCTGGAGAAGTAGCCCAAGTCAAGAAAATATTATAGAAGAAAGAGCCAATCGATTCGTCACGAGTGATGACGGAGCTGACGCAAGCAAATGAGAACGGCATATGAATATGATGCGGGTGCTGTGATGCGATAACGTGGTGAATGATGTCGGTTTCGAAAACGGTAGATAAATCATTAAATTAATACCAAGTGGTTCTAATATTCTCGATTTAAAGTCGTCAATTTTTTTTTTTTTTTTTTTTTTTTTTTTTTCCCAAAAAAAAAAAANTTTTTTTTTTTTTTTTTTTTTTTTTTTTTTGCCCAAAAAAAAAAAAGTCGTCATTTACACTAGATCTTTTATGTATTTTAATACTTTATTTCATTCAAAGTTTTTTTTACTATTATATCCATTGAATTGTTTGAGTTTATATTTAATTTAATAAACTATATGTATTTTTATTAATTTATTATTGAAAAAAATTCATGAAAATACATCAACTAAATATCATTAAGAACTTTAATACCTAAAATATTTTATTATCCAATTTCGTACCTAAATTAATTATTTATTCATTTTAATACACTTAGTTTTAAAACTGTAATCATTTTAATACCCAAATTATTTATAAGTTTGAATGAAATCTAAAAAATCTTCAAAATTGATCACAATAAATTTTAAATTTTATCTTATTATTTTAAGTTATAGGAATAAAGTATTTATATCGTGGATAATCTATATAATAATAATACACTTTTGAAGTTCCTTAGCGTGTCCATGTCAGCAAATTTGCGGGTCCCGCACGTGTTATTAGGAAAAACAAAAACGTATAACATTTTGTAAGATTGAATGTTATTGATGAGTGATGAAATGGCCCAGTGGTGTACGTTGTTGACGAGAAGTTGGTACCGTGAGTGCGCGGGTTAGAAATGCAGTGCTTGCATGTGATTTTTTTTAAAAAAATTTGGGCTTTTCGGGATACTTAAAAACTTAGGGAGATTCATAATGATTTTTTATGGTGGTTATTGGGATACAAAATGGCTTAAGTATTTGAAACTTTACGAGACCATCTTAGATACTTTTATAAATTAATTTCCAAGTTTAATCTTTTATCAACCCATATGAATTCGAAGTTTATTCTTTTATCAGACTAATTAAGTTGTGTGACTTCTAATGTTTCATTCATCACCATTATAGATAAACCAGATAAACAAATGTTAAAAAAAAACAGTAAAGTCTCATACACAAAACTACACAAATCATCAACAACGTATCCAACCCTCGCGTTTGCGCGGAGACTATGCATCTAGTATTTAAAACTATATTGTTAGTTGTAGTTTACATTTAAAATTCAGTTACTTTCTGAAGTTTAGAATTAATTAATTTATTTATTTAAATAATTTATAAATTTTAATATATTATCCACAACTTAGTTACTTTATTCCTAAACTTGAAATTAAATATGAAAATTTTCAGTCTTTTTTTATTTCAAAGTTTTTTTATGTTTTGTTTGGAGTTTATTTAAATGTTTGATCAAAATGAGCAAAGGTTGGATAGTAAAATGAGCACATATATTAAAATGAGTAAAATAATAATTTGAAATATTAAACCGATATCAAATAAGTTTGGGTATTAAAAACCGTGAGAATATTTAGTTGAGTTTTTTAAAAAAGTTTTTCTCTTTATTATTTGGATATGAAACACATATTGAAGTTTATGCTTCCAGTACCGCAGCAGGGTTTAACCAATTCGCAGCTACATGCCTAAAGAATAAAACCGTACTCATTAACTCGGGAACCGTATTGAGAAAAAGAAGCAAATAACATATAAACTTGGAAACTCACCTTTTTGAACACCAGAACGGCATTGCAAAAGATGTTTTGCACGAGCCATATAAGCAGTTGTGCCAACAGGAGCCTTCCCAGATCCCAGCTGGGACACTGTCTTCATGAGAAATCGAGCAACCTACAAATACACAGTTTTTGAGCAATTATAGAGCCAGTCTTATTGTTAGAAAGATTTAGGAAACACAATGACCCAAAAACATAAATGTGTCTTGCATGTCTAACATAGAGCTTCTGGTATTATTACCGAGTGTGCATGGTACGATGTACAGTAGCGCAGGCTGTCCATGTCCGTCCATTAGATACAGACCTAGATATGTCAATAACAGACCTACACAACAGAACAAAATGTGTTTTAAAGATTGAGTAACAAAATCAAAATCAACAATTAAATGTTTGGAGAATTAAACTTACCAACTCCATAGCCGATAGTCAACCAAAGGAAGTATCCACATGAGACTACCCTCTTTTTGATCTTGTCATATCTGAGGGCCAAAGAGAAGAGTAAAGCACTAAATACATAAAGAATTGAACATAGTAATCTTTTGAAGCTATAAGAATGTAACTGGTGATTGAGCTTATAACATCAATCAAATGCACTGATAGAAACATTTATAATGAACTCAGTAAACATAGCATTTGGAATAAAATGAGATAGATTGTTGCTTCTGATTCGCTTCATGGTTCGGCTCCGCAAGTTTGTTCTTCTCCGTGCACTATTCATCGGAGGTTCCAGAATCTCTTCTCTCCTTTTGATTTGTTAGCAGTAACACCCACACATTTCAAATGCAAATAAATCCAAACGAAACTCATCATCATGGTAAAGATAGCACTATCGTCTACGAACTCTCCAAAAAAAACAGAATCAAACCCTAGCAATCGACATAGAACAAAGCATGTTACTGAGAAAGGAGAAAGGAAGCCGATTCATTGCACATAGATTGATGGAGGGTTGCCGAACGGTTGTGAAAATCAATCGTCTAAATGAAATTAGGGTTATCATGACAAATATCTGGGCTAAATGACACACTGGCCAACACACCAAGCAAAACAAATAAAAAAAAAACCAATTCGATTCAGATCGGGCCAGGGAGATTTGAAGCCCAAATGACTAAAGTGATGCGCTGACGTGGCGAGAAGCTGGATTCCTATTGGCCTGAATATTTTATCCAATGTGGACACTTTCAGAAGGATTTAATAAGCCCTTTTGATAGTGTGTGACACTTGAATATAGTTATACTCTATTATTCAAAAGAAAAAACGTGTGTTTGAAATAAAACTATACTGTTAGAATAATACTTTAAATAATTATGTATATAGTTCTGCGGTAGTATTCAAATGACATAACGTATTAACGTGTGTTTCAAATAAAACTATACTTTAGAATAATTTAAATATTTTCCCTCATTTTTAAAAACACTAAATTTGAAAATTCATGTTAAGATAATTGTAATATCACATCAAATTTTATGTTAACTTATATCATTTATACTAATAACACTACAAGAAAACATGCGGATATTGACGGACAAAATCGTCAGAAAGTCGTCGGAATAGGCATATTTTGACGAAATTCTGACGAACTGGTTCGTCGGTATAGTTTCGTCGGAAAAAACTAATTCGTCGGAATTTCGTCGGACAGTCCGACGACTTTCTGACGAACACCGAGAAACCATATTCCGACGAACTTTTGACGAAACTCCGATAACAACTTCCGAGGGCAGGATTCATCGGAATCATTATTTCCGACGAACTCAGTTCGTCAAAATATAGTGACGACATTGGTCGTCTCAATATACCGAC